TCTCCCTCTCCCTCTCCTTCCCCTTCTCGTCACCCTCTCCCTCATCCTCCCACTCCTCCTCTCCGCTTCCAGCCTCGAGTCCATTCATGATCTTTTCGAGCCTCAGCCTCGTCTGCGGGATACTCTTCCTCCAACCACCATCAATCAGTCATGATGTCCACTGGCGAGCACTCGCGCTTGACCAGATGCTCACTCCGGCCAGTGAAAATGACAAAGATTAAGGAAGCAGTAGATGACAGCCATGCGATTCCCCAAAAAGGAGGGGGGATGAAAAGATAAAAATCAAACACACCTCCCCATACGTGTGACTGTGCCACGACAGTTGCTCCCAACTCCCCAGAACCATGGCAGCCCGCTCGCGCCGGTCACCCTCCTGCCGCATCTCACCCGTCCGCCTCGAGGAAGTCGGATCCGACGCGTCGTCTGCCGTGGGGGAGGAACCGGTCTGATATCCCCGGTTGAGATTCAAGGCCGGGTTCGGGCCGAGGGGCGTGTTCGGAGGAGGAGGCATTTGTGAATGAATGGGAGCTTTGGATTTGGAGCTCCGGGGTCGATCGGGAGAGGAGAGAGTAGTAGGAGAAGAAGAAGAAGGAGAAGGAGAAGAAGAAGAAGAGTGTGGATGGGAGCGAAGAGAGGGGAGTCGAGGTTGTATGCGAACCGTGTGGTACGCTTATCGAACGGGTTTCGCAGTCCACGATTGATCACTTTTCCAGGTCGATTTGCCCTGCATTAGCCTCCGCATGCCGGCGCCCGGGCGGGGATTTCAGGTCGGGAACTGTTACCCCAATACCGGGGTTTTTTTAATATCCGGACAAGTATTTAAGCCCAATTGAGTAAGGTCGCACTATACCACCACTGCGCAGCTTGACGACGAGGACGATTCCGAGGATAGGTTCAGCTGTGAAAGTGTAGAGATGTATCTGAAAAAGATGTTGCGTACCAGGACTGTTTTCATAAAGGCCTTGGTTGAGAAGTTATTGAGGGATGCGGAAAGGACGTGCTGTCTCTCAATACATGAGCATCCGGGTATTAAAAACATCCTGAATACGCTAAGGTACAGCTAGGCTCGGCCCAGCACCCGGTCTCTCAGCCCCACGTCGATGAGCTCGCGAGTCGCGATCGACTTTGATCACTGACTGGCGCCAGAGTTCGGCTCTGTTATAAAGGTCTCCACATTTATATGGTCGGACAACGCTATTTGTTGTTCTTCTTATAAGTGTGCAATCCTGCAATACGTCTTGGAAAAGCGTTCCGAAAGAAGTCGGACAACTACAAGCATTATCATATGAAAGCTGAGGGGAGGAGCTTGATGAAACGATCTTTGATTGTTCAGCCGCATGATCGTGCATATGGACTTTCCTATCATGTCATTCATGTACGCCTCGTCTTTTTATGGCGGCAATAAGTTTGGGACTGCTATCCAGACCGTTCGCCCTCATCAGATCCTTAGACGATGCTAACGGCTAGATCCCTGAAGACTCATCCAACCTCGAGTATCTTGCGACGCTTCAACGGAAAAAAGGAACCTACTCAGCCTACCAACCAATTTTGATCTCTTTTCGAATCCTTGAACTGTCCAGTAGCAGCTGAGCATCATCCTGTCGATCTTTCAAGTCTCGGAAGCTTGGGAAAGGAGTGGCTACTCGACCTTTATCTCCCCCATTTGTCCTTCTAAAAGTACTTCCTCACATTTTGCGAAAACATCATAATTATAGTCGTGGTCAGTTCGTTCTTGGTGTGTAGACGGAACGGCTGTGCTCCCAGTGAGCTTTTTCCAATAATTTTCAGGCTATGCAAAACGTACCTGATCCTGGCGGATCGGCATACTTCTTAAGCTCCTGCTCCACTTCTTTTTCCCTACCGGCTCTAACACTTGCCATGATCTGGGTTCTGGAGACCCGGTCTTTTCTGACAAGCCAAAACAACTGCAGCCGTTTTTCGATCGTCGCAGGATCATGAACGGATCGGAATAAATGGCCTAGCGCCCCAGCGTCCTCCATCGCAGAGTTAGAACCCTGCCCACCGAACGGCATCATCTGATTTGTCAGTCATGATCGCTTAGCTTGGTGCATTGTGAAAGGTCGACACACCGGATGGGCAGCATCCCCGATTAGAATGACTCTGCCATTGTACCATGTAGGTAGGGGTTCGTGAACATAGAGCGGCCAACACTTTACGTGCGAAGACCGGCTGCACAGCAGGTCAGCAAGTTGTTATGCCCAACGTACGTATGCAGGTATTGCAACATACGAAATAATCCGGACAATTCCTGGATTGAAGTGACCAAACTCCTTGAGCATGGATTCCTTCATTGCTTAGGGCCCCCACCAATGAATTTAGCTTGCGGTCCAACCAGAAATGTCGATGGATTTCAACTTCTAGTCTTACCTTCCGTTTCCGTTTCTTCATGATCCGCTGGTCGTGTCGGATGAATGCCTACGAAGTTCTGGACTTCGCCGCTGGTGGCTTGATTAGCATGAGGATCTCGGTAGTGCGGTTCAACAGTGAGTAACCCACTCCCGACATGGATACCACACCACGTGACGTTCACTGATGGTCTCTTTCGCGTCGATGATGAGAGAAAGCCCTGGACCTCTAGCCTCGACTACCTGTGCAAGCTTTGCATCATCCTCCAGCATTGTTGTATCCATCAAGAACCTGAACGCGCTCAAGCCGCTAGCGGACGCCTTGGTATCATGTGTCAAAACGGTGCCTCGCAAGACCGAATGAAGTCCATCAGCGCCTACAATCAGGTCTGCAGCATGACGTGAACCATCCTTTAGCGTAATTGAGCCATCTGTCGAAGCATCCACCACCTGTGCTCCCAGCCGAAGAGTGACTGGTTTCGAGCCTGGTGTATCTTCGCTAGTTGCCAAACGAAGGAGCTCGTTGTGCAGGTCCACGCGATGCACCGACCAAAGAGGAGCGCCGAATCTTTGCTCAGCCATGCTCAGGTCGAGACTGGCCACACGCCCCATCGAATCTCCGAGTATCGTGTCCCATTGTACCATTTTGCAGGCGCGGGCTCGCTCGAAGGAGAATCCGAGACTTGAAAGGATTCGACTACCATTTGGTGTCAAGACCAGCGCAGCACCCACCTCGCCCGTGAAGCTTGACCTTTCGAAGATCTAAACAGAGCAGTATCCACGATCAGTAGGAAGGACAACTCAGCTGGCCGCTAACCCAACCAGGATGAGCATCATCGTTTCTCTACCAACGAGAAGCATGGAACTATGAAAATGCCATCTGCTCGATAAAATGATAACGGGCAAGAAAGAAACACTCGCAAATTCTTTGAACCTACCTCGACATCGTGTCCTGCTTGTCGCAGCGATGTAGCCGCGCACAGACCTCCAATACCTGCTCCGACGACAATCACTTTGAGAGGCATAAGTTTAAGGGACTTTGATAGAAAAAACCTGATCACATGTATATAGAAGAAGAAAAGGGCTTGAGCCTATCTGGTATAGTGAGCCTGATTCAACCCTGTTCTCGTCGTTCTTCTCAGGCTTTTTATTCTTCATTGCTTACTTGTTGTGATGAGTGGGCGCCAAAGTCGCCGTGCATTGATTAGCTAATCTCCTCCAATGAGGATTCTCCATGTATGATGATGTGCTTGACTTCTGTGAGGCTTACTACTGCTACGTAGTTTCACTGGGCATAGGGGTGCCCCGGGCAGCGGGGATTGATTTCACCGCGACAATACTTACGCTAAAGCAAAGTCTGACTGCAGCGTACCTTAGACCTTAGGGATGCGCTGTAAGCTGACTCAACTGACTTGCAAGTTGCAATCGCATTTGTCCTCAGAAACTGACATGGTAAGACTTGGTGATAATTGGTAAGAATTGGTTCTGTTAGAAGAGACAGATCTCGTGACTCTGTTCGAGCAACAAGAGCTAGTATTTTTTTTTTTTAATAATTTATCATAATTTAATATTCCAAATATTTTATTTACACTTAAAACTTAGTAAATTTAAAATAATTTAAATACTATAAACTTAAAAAAATACAAACTTAAATTATTTATATTATTTCTAATATAAAAAATAAAAAAAATTAATTTAATTATAATACTTAGATATAAAAAATAAAAATATATTTAAATAAAAGATAATCACTAACATTAAATTAACACATAACAAATAAAAGTCAAAAAACAACATTTAGCCAAATCAAAAAATCAGTCTATTAACTTCAACAATAAATATAAAAAAACTATAAATAAATAGATTTTTTTCGATTTAAAAAATTCAAATATAAAGATTAATAAGTTTTAAAATTACCATCTCAACTATCATAAAACTAAGATAACTAAAATATATTAATTATATATTATATATTTATTTAGAAATTATTAAGAATAACTAATTTTAAAATATACTTATTAAAATTATTAAAAATTTATTATAAATATATCTAAGTAATTTATAAATAATATATAATTTAAATATTATTAATAATTAAAAAAAAAAATATAAAGTTTTATAATATATTTTAATTATTAATTATTTAATTATTAAGATTTTAAAAAATTAAAAAAAAAATAAATTAGAAATTAATATATATTATTAATATATAAATATAAATATAAATTTTATAAATGTAGTAATAATATACAAATTAAGATTATTAAGTTCTTAGAATATCGGATGAACGGGACCAAACACAATCAAATACCAGGGGAACCAAACACAAAAAAGGGCAGGGTTACCTCTTTCCAACAAGAGCTAGTCTGTTGGTTGACTGGCGTGTTGCGATATCGGAAGGCTGTGCACTTACCGACAATCTTGACGACAAATTGTCTGCCTGCTCGTTTCTATTTTAATCAGCCGTCTTTGCGACGTTTTCAAAGAACCTTGAAGACTCGCAGCCTTGTAGCCTTGTAGCCTGGCATTGGAAATACAATGCTTGCTCTTTGACTTCAAGTTCTCGGAACTACGCCCATATACGAGTAACGAGTGGCCATGACCCTCATCGTGAACCAGCCACTACTGTACAATATGGCAGATAATCAGGCAGACAATCCTGAACCGAGAGAAGGTACCAGTAATTCTGAAGTAGTTTCAGTCCGATCAAGGGCATCTAGTGTCATTTCGACCGGGACAAAATTCAGCATTTCCACCTTGCCGCAAGGGCATTTCCAGATTGACGATGTCCTCGAAGGCAACGCTGCTCGAACTACCTCCACTCGGCCTGGATCCATGTACAGCATCCGTTCCATTGCGCCCTCTCTACCCCCGTATGAAGACCAAGCACCCAGGCCAGCACCCATCCAAACCTCCGCGCCAAGCGGCAACGACTCAGAGCAACCGCCAACTCCATCGACTGCCGACCCCGAAAATGCTCTCAGTATTCATTACGGCCGTGTCGTGCGCACCATCGACGAAAATCACGCCCGTCAGCTTGCCCGCATCTATGAGGCGCATGATCAACAGTTGAAAACCCATGTGCAAGAACTGGCCGCAACCCGAGAAGCCGTCGACCAAGCTTATCGAAAAGAATGGAAGGCCAACAATCGCGAAATAGAGCGCATTCGCGAAGACGCTGCTGCTAGCGTTGCTGAAATGCAGAAAACGCTAGATCGAGACTTAGAGAGAGGTAGGGAAGGGTGTGCTGCGAAAGTCGCTGCACTGGAAGAGCGAATTCAGTCGCTTTCTATTACTCATACCAAAAGTCTAGCGCGTATCCAGCAGGATGCTACTGACCAAGTTATTATGCTTCATGAGGAGTATCAGGCGACTATCGACAAGGCGAGGAACGCTATTGAGGACCTTTGGGAGGGAAGGTGGAACGATCGTACGAGACTTGCTGCTGAGGAGGCGCAGAGACGCGATCTGGAGAGAGACGCAGAGTGGCTCAGGCTAATTGAGAATACGCATCCAGAGCTTCTGGATGAGATGAGGACTGCGATGGAAGCTTCTCGTGCGAAGAAGTAAGCCTTTGCCAACGTGGGCTTTACTGCGGACAGCTCCGACGACAGAAAACATCCGTCGTCTCAGGTTTACTCCAAGCAAGTCTAGAGCTTTCGAGGTATGCTGAAAGTGTCTGGCCGTCTCGTCATCGGTGGTTCTACCTTCGACGCTCCACCTGTCCACAAACTTTTGGAACCTGCGCGGGAATGTTGGACACCTAGCGTCTAATGATATTTATATACCGATGGCCCCGTAGCCTTCAAGTTTCAGCACTCCGAGCCAACCGTGATTTCGGTTGTCATCTAGACTGCAAAGACGAAGATTCAATCTGAGCCAAACCTTGAAAACGTTCGAGGCAAAGTACAATGTCGCACTCTCTTCCTCCAAAGGCTCCTGCGGCCCCCGACTTGGGTTCAGTACCACTAACCTCAACACTAACAGATTCCCGATCAACATCATCAGGGTCAATGCGATTAGGCCTAGGGTCTTCAGCTGTAGGACCATCTAGCTCAACGCAATCCAACCCAGCGCCACCGACGACAAATTCTCCCTCGGACGGAGCATCCTTATCTGCACTTGCTGCCCAAATTAACTTGGGACTTCCCACCTTCGTCGACCATGTCAAGCGCTTAAACCCGTGATTTGATGGCAGAGTTCGATAAGAAGAAGACGCAGCAGCGGGCTGCTCACACCCAGGAAACCCGTCATGTAAAGCAGACCTTTCGCGCGCAGGTGCTTCTGCACAGAGAACGAACTTTATGCCCATGAGCGCGAGCAAGCGATTCAAGTACGGGAGGAACATCAGGGAAGGAGAAGGCCTTGGTGCCGATGGGGAGTACTTCACCATCGAGAACGACATAGGCAGCTGGACTGTGCCGAGCAGGGAGCAATTCCATGATCGTAAGATCTGGAAGAAACTTGAAGGGAACAAAGGGTCTGGGGATGAGCTTTGAAAGCCAATGATTCCAGAGAGGAGCATCATGGTCGGACTGGGAAGCCCAGACACTGGAAGCAGCGCCGTGGTGCCTGACCGGGATATGGCGGTGTGACAAGGTGGTCAAGCTTCAATGAGCGAAGACGATGGTCTCTAGGAGGACGCTTGGAGAGGGACGAGTAGGTACAGGCTTCTTGGGCAGCGTTACGTTCCTGACAAAAATTCTGTGGAAACTGACTACGTTTTCTAACGACATCGAACCGTCTATTCTTTCGCAACGTGGGAGGCAGAATCCATGCATCGTGGACAGAGGGTTTCTCGTGCCAGTCTATTCGAGCATTAATGCCTGAAAACCAGTGAGTATGTGCGAGTGACGGGGTGGATGATAATACGTGGTGAACCGCCGACTTCGATATCAGCCAGATCGAAACGACGGAGCACACCCCCCCCCACCCCAACTCTTCTCTTCTCATCTCACAACGCAAAACACTCCATCTCACACCCTCTCAACCCTCCAACCTTCTTCCTCAATCAGCAGCAATCGTCCGCCTCAGGTATCCACCTTCCGCAAACCCAACGGCAACGCATACCCGGTACCCTACCTCGCTCACCTACCGCCGCGAGCCAGAATCCAAAAAACAACCCCCCCCTCCCGGACCGTCACAACACCCGAAGCGACCAAGCCTGCCAAACCGATGCCTCCCGCGAGACGCTTACTGAGACGGGATGCAGCGGTCCGCGCATCGAGATGCTTGCGCGGAGTAAACGCGAGCGTGGGAGATGTCCACGTGTGGGGTGGGTCTCGACATGGGAGTGTTGCGAGGATGGGGTACGTGAGCGGATTGGTGGGCACGAGGATGGCGGAACTGCTTGGGGGTTACTGGAAGAAGTGTACGGTTCACAAGATGGGGACCGGGCCCGAGACACAGGCACGAATGGTGTTTCTACGTTCTGGCGACCGCGATGAGGGGGGAGGGGATGGGATTTGGGGAGCACGTTGAAAGTTTGGTTGAGAGGTGTTGGGAGAGGGTCGGTGTGGTTCTGGGGTAGATAGGGTGCTTGTTCTTCAGAGTTGGGTTGGGGCTGGAGGAGGAAGAGGGAGAGGGTTTGAGGTTTGAAGAGGAGGAAAAGGGGGTCGGGCTTGTTGTGGGGAATATGGTGGGTTAATGAGGAACGGGTGGCTCGAGGTTCGTACAGAGGGTTATTGTCATCGAAGAAGGTGCATCGGAGGAAATTTTCCCGGTTTCATTCAGTCGCTTCTATGGGTATGGGCGCTAATAGCATGCATTAATGATCGATTCAAGAAAAGTCTCTGGATGAGAGAATAGGTCGGCCCAGTGCCACGTCTTTACCCAAGGCTGGAAGGATTCTTCCATCATCGAGCTCTGTTGGAAAATGTCAGGTTGTCTCGCATCATGCGCAAAGAACGAGGATCATACCACAAAAATGGTTCGTAAAGCTGGTCCACCAGAGAAGGAAATGGACAGTCATGGGTATCCTAAACCGTCGAATGGTATCTCAATGAGTCAGCATGCATTCCGATTATGCCAGGAGCGAGGGGAAATACCATTGAACCGCAGAAAACATATTGCGTCCCTCTTGGAGCGTTCTACTCCACCCCCTCCTCATCTTCCATTTCCTTCGCGACAGCAAGATTATCTTGCTGCTTTCGGTATGACAGCTCCCAAAGTGCGAGACCGATAGCGTTATGCCTTTCTTTGACAGAAGCATGTGCCTTTTCCACCTCTTCGAGAACCTTCGAAGCATCATTCACGATCGTCTTCTCTTCCTCCTTGCCGTTGGTGAAGCGGTTCTTAAGCACAACCCGCGTCTCAATGCTGCCGTTCCACGACTTTCTCCGTTGCGCTGTTGTTAATTGTGAGATTATAGACGGGCGAATATTCTCAATGGTATCGTATGTTTGATCTGCGTCTGGATCTGCGTCTCCCTCCGGGCAGAGCTGCTCGATTTGCGGGTAGCTAACCTGGTAAGAACCCCAATATGTCGACCATGTGGGGCTCCTGAAATCCAGTTGAGAGCCTTCTTTGAAAATCATGGTCAAATCCAACTCAGAGAATATATGACCGTCTCCGGAGCTGTCAGCCTTGTAGACATCTGCCAACCACCCGTCTGCGCTGTCGTAAACCGCCGACTCCCATCCTAGCATCGCACCGCTCGAGATGAGAGAAGTGATCCAATGTACTCTCCTTTTGTAGCTGCTAGCCGGTTTGTTCTGAAGATTTTTGAGGCTGTCAATGAGAGCTTTCCCATTTGCGATGATCGTTTCGGAGCATTTTCTCTGGAATGGTAGTCCGTCATCGTCAATCACCGAGACAAAGGCAGTATCTTTCCTGCGAAGTGATATTTCTCGAAAATTCTGCAGTAGGACAACATAATCTTGGTTGCGCTGCAGATCTTGATTCACACGAGAGATGTCATCGTGGACACTCTCACTGCGGATGCGAGAGGCGGTTGCGGCCTCTTTCTGTCTGCTGACTGCACTGATCATCTTTTTCCCAGACTCGAGTGCGAGAAGATCTTCGAAGCGGTCCCTCCAGTTGAGGTTTGGAAATTGTTGCTCCAGATTGAGGGGTGAATACTGACTACCAAGTATGTACCCTAAGGGCCACATGCGTGGGCTTGCAAAATAAGTAGCCATATGGAGTTTGGCGCCATCATACCATGACAAGTCTTTTGTCCAGCTATACTTGCCCGTCAGCATTGCGTTGGTGAGTTCGAAACCCAACGGTTAAAAGATAAGTCAAGAACAAACGCAAAAGGCAAAAATATTATGCACCTACAACGCGTCTCAAGACCTGAGAAAGAGGTCTCATGCAAAAGGAAAGGACTGAAAAGTAACATACTCTTCTGCCCAAGAAGCAGGGGCTCCGCATTTATCACAATTGCCTTCGGGTGGAGTCCAGCCCGTAGATTCAGAGCTTGGAGTAGACGCCATTGTCAAGAGCAGTGCACACGGTAAACACTGACTTGGTCTATCTAGGATTTAATAGAAATGCTGTCATGATATGGTACAAAAGTGTGGTATTGGAATATGCATTTTATCACTGCAAGAGATGAACTTGAGCAAACACAAACAGATGAAAGGTAGTGTGAACTGGCAGACGAGAATGTACCATGCGGCCCCTCCCGCCCTTTTACCGTATCGAGGACAGGGCACCGTCGAAATACCAATATCTGCACGTCCGCCGATCAGTCTTGTTGTTGGGGGTATTTAGTTCGTATTAGGTTCGATTCCTAATGGCGCTGGTACAATGGTGTTGCGGTGCTTCTTATTTTCTAGTCTAGTATCTGTTGTTGGAGGTATTTGTTTGGCGGAGATATTGAGTTCGTATTAGGTTCAATTCCTAACAGCGCTGGTACAATGGTGTTGCGGTGCTTCTTATCTTCTGTATCATCATTGCAATTTGCAAGAGCACAGGACATGTCTTACTACCCAGTACACAACATAGAACTGGACTGGAGCCTTTTAAAGCCTGCCAAAATCAAACGGTCAATAAATTCCGATAATTTGGCCCATGAATAACAGATGAATGCAAACCTGAGACACAGGATTGGAGACAAGTGGAGATGTCTGATTCTATCCCGCTCATTCTGATTCAGCACGGTCCTGAAACCTCACAAAGTAGATACATACTACACCAGACATATGGCCTACCCGATGGTGAAACTACCGCTGCACCAACGAGGCACATACAATTCAACAAAGGCTGGTTCCAACATTCAGGCAGTACGACGAACAGTGAAGCTGCGCCGCCATGGACCATTGATTTACCGCTGTTCCTCTTCACCTTCAACTGGATGCAGCTGGTCAGATCCTTGCCCGCTTGAGGCTGACTATAATCAACGGCATTCCTCGACACCTTATCCTGGAATTTGGAAGCTTTGTCGTTCGGACCTCCGTTGGCTAAATCGCAGAGAAATGCCATGGTGGCGGGAGATACTGTGAGCGTAGCGCTGTAATGATTGAAGACTGTGGACAGCATCCATGGTCTCTAAGACTGTTGCGTTGCGGAGTCGAAAAATGCGAACGAGATTAGATCCAGGGGGTGATAGATAGGCAGACTGAAGAAACTGCGACAGTTATGGGTGATGCTGATGGCACCAATCTGTGCTAAGGATCCCCAACGCTGTGATCAATTCGCTCGTTTTACAATTTTAGCAAACATTCTGCAAAAACCAGAGATTGTACGGTAGACAAGTGTTGAAGGTGGATTGTAGCTCATCTAAACGATCGTAAATTCCTGAAGCTCAAAGGTTCCATTCACAAGGAGACTCATCGCTTCGCCATCCATGAACCCATGAACATAGCACTCGCCGACAAAAGACCAGCTTTCGCCGACTGGGCGGAGAATGTAGAAAACGTGGCCTCCAAGGAGGAGACAAATCTCATCGCCAGGCCGAGTTTCCCCCGGAGCCAAGCACATGTAGCCCCTATCTGACAAGACAAAACTCCTACCAACTGTTGCGAAAAGAAGAGAGCCCCATTCAACTCGCCGCTGGGGTGATGCGGGTTGTTGTGTGTAGTCTTTTATAGAACGCCAGAAACTCCAATCAACACTGTAGCCTCGCTCCCTCAGAGGTCCTTTCTTGGCAACGTCGGCCACGATGGTACGGCTGAAAGCCTCAAGAATTGTCTCGCCGGTTGGTTCGTAAACACCTTGGAGGTTCTCCGGCTCCCATCCCTTTATGACGTCGCTCTCGGAGTCGCGATGTGCATCTTGGTAGTATGGAAGACCGGTGGCCACAGCCTTGCCTATACAGAATCCTTCAGTAACGAGCTTCGGTTTTTGAATTTTTGAGAAGGATAGATGACGTTTCTGAGACGTAACATCAGCACTAGAGGAGTAAATCCTTTTCGCTGCGGGATCTGAAGCGCAGATACTTGGTCTGTGCTTTGAAAGATAGGCTAAAGGATGTCTAACGCTAGGATCGCGCCAGTTCGGGACCCACGAAGGTAAGTCAAGGTCCCGCGAGGAAGGATTGCAATAGCCCAAACATTCAAGAGAACCTCGATGCAATATGCAATGTTCAGCCACTTTGGAGTAAACAGTCGGGAGATCTAGAACGTAATCGCAAACCAAGATATCCGTCAAGGCTTCGGTGACTAAACCCAGCAATGCATATACCTTGTCCCTTGGGTCTGTAGCCTTGTAGTGTCGATAATTGGCAAGCGTTCCTAGGAGATCTGCTTGATACTTCCCACCCCCAATCAATCTTTGAAGATGATCCAGATTGAAGAGCCCGCGCATAGAGGTGGTGCCGAGAGCACTAGTGTTTGGGAAATACACTTTCAGATCCGGTCGTTGAATGGCATGAGAAAGAAATTTGGCCGCAGCAATAAAACTCCACCAATCGATCTTAGAGTCTCCACACTGGATAGTCTTCGTTTTGACGGGTGCCGCCGCCTCTTGAACCGTCCATACCCGTTCGAACCAATCCCGAGTAATCAGGGATCTGAACGCTTCTACAGGTGTAGTATCAAATTTGGAGTTGCACTCATCCAAAAGAGTGGACAAATCAGCTAAACTCTTACTCCGAAACTCCGACTCAGCATCACTGAGATTGAGCCCCTGATCTGACCAGTATGCTGAGATTGTGGATGCTAGCGCTAGCGCTGAGGCGCTTCCATCTCCTTCGGGCCCAAGCCAAATCAGGACTCCTCTGGACCGCCCATATATCTGCTGCATTTTTCGGACTTGGGCGCTCTTCTCCGCAATGTCTAGCTGGTTAATGCATATAGCGTCAATCCAAAATGTGCGAGTCTCCTCATGTGAGCGCAAATGTTGCAGGGCTTCATACAGACTTTGCGTAACACCCATCTCTGTTTGGTCTATGAATATTTTGTAGCCTTTTGAGTGTTTGCCCCAGACGTATGACAGTGCACAGTATGGCGGAGGCTTATCAAGATTTATCGCCCTTACTTCGCACTGAATCGGCGATGAATGATCTCCTGGTAGTATATTGACCACTCTAGTCATGTTCAACAATGGTTGTAACTGTGTGTACTTGAAAAACCCTTGTGATGCCATCTCGGCCGAAGATTGGGTCAATATTGTAGAGTGTCTTTGATGAGAAAATCGACGACAGATCTGTTGGGGCTGAACTCTTAGGTAGCAGTCCAAGGTAGATGGTGAAATCAAGTGGTTGTCGCCTCGCGACCAGGCGGCGGAAATCTTCCGCTACGCATGATATCCGGTCTCACAGGGCGGAAGCATGGAGGACAGCAGTGCCAATGTCTCGTGTACGAGTATGAGCTTGAAGATGACGAACCTAACTCTTGGCTCATCTCTCTGCTAAAGGGTTTTGCACATATTCAGTCATTTTGAAAGATTGGTCGACGTTTCGCTAAGCGCCGGAGAATCTCGAACCGGGTGGATTAGAAACGTCGCTCTCGACCATGGGACAGAATACTTCGGGAACGATATCCAGGTCGAAATCACGGTTCCATAATCTGTTCTCTACCTGTACACCCCCTCGGCCAGAGATTGAGCAACCAAACATTTCCAGCTTGTACAATATAGCTTGAAGATCCTGCTTGACGCTGCCAGTTCGTCAATGGTCACAATCAAGAGACATTGCAAACCCCAGAGACAACTTTGATCCTAGGCGGGAGATCGAAGCGCTCGTGTCATTGATCATTGTGCGAGTCCCTGGACTCTACGTGTCGGATTGTAGTGTACACGAAGAGCACATTGGAGAGCTCATATCACGCCATGACAAGGTCTCCACAAAGGCAAAGATAGGGAAATAAGAGAGAGGCACGCAACACTGAAGGAATAGCAGAAACATAGACATCAAACATTCAAGGGGTTCGAACAGCAAAGTGGGGAGGAGTGATGATCTGTCATGGACGAATTGATCTCCCTTGTGAAACACGGGATGTAGAGGAAGATGGCATTCTCCTTGCCACGAGAATCCTTTGGCCACCTCACAAAGGGATAGATAGAATTGTCATTTCTTTGCCACAATCTCATTTCCCTGCGTCACAAAGAAGGAACAATTGCAGCCAAATCGACAAAGAGACCTACCTTTGTTGCTTGCCACTCAAAGGAAAGCGAAAGCTAGACTTGGAGATGGTACACTGGCAGTCGAGTGTGACAGGCTTTTCACTTCCCTTATCCCTTGTACGCCGAGAGGCGATGACATTGAATGACATTGAATGACATTGAATGACATTGAATCTTGGATGCAATCCCTGTTTGCATTTTCAGACTTTCAGCATAATCGTGACGGTGTTCAACCCTCATAGCGACTTCTCTCATCTCGGTTGCTTCACCGAAAACACTCAGCTTCAGGAAGAAAAGACCGCAACCACAATGTGTCAGGGTAATCTTCAAGTCTCCACCTCATGTGGCCACCATCAAAAAGCCCACCCCCTCCAGCATTGCAAGTCCTATTCTCACACGCGAAATCGCTGTGACGGCACCGTCTCTATTTTCCATACGACCACAATCAACGCCGCCCCCACCCTCTGCGTGCGCTGCGCCTCTCGCATCGAAGCGAACATAGTCCGAGAGCTGGACCAAATTACCACGGAACTAGAAACAAATATCGCAGAGATCAACCACGGTTTGTGGGTGGAGAGAAATCGTCCCTTTACTTATGTCGCACTAATTTTCGAGCGAGCGAGGCTGAGGGAGGCGTTGAAGGGCTTCCAGGAGGAGATGGAGGAGGAATTGGTCGAGTTGAGAGAAACGCATGGTATGGGTCGGTGGGATCGAGTTGCTGACCTTCGGGGATGACGGGTGGTTCACGTTTCGGCACTTGCGGATTGAGGCAACAAATAGCTGTTTAGCCCTTTTCTTTGTGAATGAAAGAATGGTTTTTGAATTACCGCCTCAGATCTCTTTCTTACATAGCAGGGATGGTGTCGTAGGCCCCCGTCCAGACTGATAGCCATCATATTACGGCTGCCCGTCCGCTTCATACACATTGTCTGAACGTGTGTCCAACTCTCCAAGTTGCTTCTGATTAGAGCCGAGCTCCTGACGCCCTGCCTGAATGCTCATCTCGTAGCCTTGGTATATTCCCTTTGCCTCTCTCACTTTCATAGCAGCATAGATATCATCAGTCACTTTCTGCGCGCGAAGCCGCTGCTTACGTTCCCGATAGAGCAGCAAGGCCAAACATGAAAGCAGTAGTACGCCTAGTGGTACGCCGACTCCCGCTCCGATTGCCGCTGATCGATTAGATGACGATGCAGGCTTAGAAGATGAAGTGGTCGATGAGCTTGCCGATTTCGAAGCCGTTGCAGGTTTCGAGGAGGTGAATGCGGTGGCTGATGTGGAGGCAGCTGGAGTGGATGAAGTTGCAGTCGACGCATTGTTTACCTGGGCTACTCCGAAAAAGCTTCCGATGCCAGCGGCATTCATGGTGAAGTCAGAGGTATCGCAACAGCCAGCCGCAGCCTGCGAGCTGCCTTCCACCGCTCCACAGCACCAAGTTATCGTATAAGAGCCACTATTAACAGGGCAGGGATACAGGTTGCTGAAGCTATGTATAGAATCTATCGTTGTGTCAGCGCAGGTGATGTCGCTCTGGAAAGCGAGAATTGAGTACCAGATCTACACGAGGGACAACATGATTCCGACGCCCAATTCACATCGGTGCAACCACCGCGGTAGGTAAACCCAGAGCCACCGAAACAGTAGCCGGTTGTTGAACAGCCGTCCCCTTCAGCGCAGCATGCACTGTAAACCCCCTCGGCGACAGATGCGTTGCATGGTTGATAGCCCGTGGCGACCGATTTATCTGGATAGTAGCATATAGCGTCTATTAGGTTGACAAAGGAAAACCACACAACGTGTACAGCTGCACGTGACGACTCCCGAAAGGTATGCATAGCGAAGAACGCCTGCGAAAAGGGAGACTTTGTGAGACAACGAAACTTTGAGAGAGGCAAGCAAGACAAAGCAGGCACGAGCACTTGATGACAACTGCTGAAGGAAGGGTAGTACTTATAATTCGATCTGCCCTGGTCAAGTAAAGCAGTCTATTTTCGTGTTACAATTTATTGTAACCTTGCGGAGTCAGCTCGGCCTCATGCTCTCGGTCAATAGCGCCTGTCGCAGCCTTCGGATCAGAATCTATGCAAAGCCTAGGTCTTTTTGAAACTTGATGGTCTCTATGAGGAAGTGGAGGGCCCCATTAGGCGCTGAATGAAGGATGTAATGGTTATCACAATAACCAAAAGAGCAAGGTGAAACCCTTCGTTTCAGACTTAGAACGTTCCTGCAGCCTGCAGGCAGAGGTGAAGGAATGAAGACGAGACTTTGCGTCATACGGTACATCTCTGACGCCCAAACTTGTGACAGAAATGCAGGATAAAAATGGCTGCTTGAGATTGATTCCCTTCCCCAGTTTAAAAGCGCCACCAGCGCGTAGAGAAGAGCGCGTGCTGCCAAGTCTATTTTCGGGTGGGAATAACAGTATCCAGATAGAGTAAGTGATCCCAGCAGCTAGTCCCTTTGTGACCTAGCGCGATGCTTCTGGCCGATTGGCCAGAACTCTCGGTGTGTTCGCGTCGTGATGCATGATAAAGGGCGCGGGATGACCTACTTGATATACTATTGATGTGTTCCAAGCGAACGTTATGCTAGGAGCTGCTGGAAATGCTATCGCGTCAGGAACAAATGCCCAGTCTCTTCACCAGGACGTGAAAGCTTGTCCGAGTTGGGCGCTGCATCCCGCCAGTGAGTGTTATGACACCTGTTTGAAACACAGCAACGAGATTTGTGGAAGTTTTTTCACTCTTCCGTCGTGGGTGGCCAAGTGCTCCTGCTCAGTACCATAAGTGGGTTCAGGAGCCTTTGGGCCTGAGGGTGGTGCTTGCTTGGGAGCTGGCCGTGGATGCATTGGATCTCGCAAGGGAGCCATGGTTTGCTGATGGAGTTTTGCTTGCGGAGATCAGAGATTAGCAAGATGTGTGGGGTATTCGGGACTAGTTATACGCAAATGGCGATCAAAACCTCGACCAACAGGGAGACATGAAGCCGCTCTGGAACGACCTTGCCTCTTGAAAGGACGCAGTACTTTGCTCTTTGTCAGCCCAACTTTTCCGTTCGCTCGTCTTTCTATATTAACCAAAAGCGAGCAAGTTCTAGTCTTGTAACAACAACTACTTACTTTTCTCTCTTAAATCCTTCCGCCACGCCGATACGCCTAAGAAGAACACTCTTTCAATTCCACTGTTGAATAACTTGACGAGCCTCCGCCTCCAAGACCTCCGTCCGAAAAAAATTCCCCTTCAACCACGTTTTTGCCTTGCAAATCACCAGATCCCAAGTCTCCCTCTCTTTGCCCATCTTTTGCTCCAGAAACGCAACAACCACCCAGGTGATCCAGTACGATTCCATCTTTGTACACAGGATTTTTTCCTTGATACCCATGGTACTGGTAAGCTGCGTCGCCTCAGTCCAGGAGCCCTCGAAGTCTTGCAGCTCGATGATGGAAATGACTTTTTCACTGTCGGTAGCAACATGTCTGTTATTTCTTTAGGTGGAGCCAAGGGCCTCAAAACGTTCTTCGACCGCCGCTGCACCAAACTGAGAGGACGGACCAGCCGATGCCATTGGACCGAACATACCATTGGCACTGCCAGTAAGTGTAGTTGGCGATCGGAAGGATTGCTCATATCCGATGTTGTGAAAGCGAAGAGGCGGACTAGCAGAAATTGAGCCAAAGAGGCGCTTTGAGCTGGTGAACCCGCTGAGCGGGTGGCTGTCTCTCTACTCTGAGATGGTGGGGTAGTGCGTCGGCCACCGCGGCCTCTGCCGTTTTCTTTGGTCGGACTCCCTCCACGTTCTCTAGAATAATGCGAAAAGAACCTAGAGTGGCATCCCTCTGGTGGCGTAATTTCCCTAGGAGGGGGAGTGTCGAATAAACCAAAACCCATGTCCTCGTCACTTTCTTCGGCTTCATCGGATCCGATTCCTGCTGAAGGGCAAGATTCGGACTTACCAAAAGATAATGTGCACTCTTGGACTACGGCCTCAACGCTTTGCTTATCGTCTTCGGAAGGCTTCATATTCGTGTGTTCGTTCCCAGATACGGCTATGAACGAGCACTACTTCCCACCCACTTGGAATCGCAACCCCAATCGAACGGCCTCACGTTGGACGATCTCCTCAAAACAGCTGGGATGAATGTCCTTCAATAGCCTTCCACTCTCGTTGTCTTTGGCATCACAGATCCAGCCTCGACCTTCCTCGAGCTCTTGCATGATTTTCTTCGCAGCCAACTGATGGATCTTTTTGCCTGGCTCAGGCAATCTTTGGATCGAGATCTCAAGCTCCAGAGGCCCTTGTGGAGATGCGCCCCGCAAAATCACCGACTTGGGAGTCTTTTGGGTAGAATCAGGAGACAGAAGGAGGTAGGCTGTAGTTCGTGCGAAAGGGAATAATGGAGGTATCCGGTGTGGTGCTTGTAGCAGCTTTGGCGTTGGAACACCTGGCAGATGTGCATACGGATCCTCATTGTCATTGCCCAGCGAAAGCGGGCACCCTTCCTCTTCTGTCTTGATGCTTGAGTCGAAGAGCGAGATGGGATTTTCATGTTCTTCCGTTGTTTCCTGTGGTGCCTTTTGCTTGGTAAGCATGACCTTTATACCGTCTGTCAACCATCTCCCACGTCACGTCACACTCTTCTTTTGTAGATTTCTCGTACCTGAACTCCATAGTGTAGTCTGAGACGTGCGGAGACAATGCTGCCTCCAGCATACGAACCATTTTTGTTGTCAAGCTTCTCACCTTCGTTAACCATCTGCGCGAAACCTTTGCCAGCACGAGCGACACCCTCAACAAGGCTGGTAGAAACGCCATCGCCAATTCCTAGTGGAAACACGCGAATGCTGCCGCCAACAGTGTCGTTGAGATAGCTGAAAAGTTTGTGTTGGCGACGTATGTCACCGTCAGTCAAGACCAGAATCTCGCAGTCGGGGTCTGCGAAACGGCTGTCGATGGCCGCTCGAACGGCATTCTGAGTCTCAGTCCCGCAGTAGTCGGCCTTGAAATGTTCGACATGGGCTATCGCCTCCTTAAGCGAGTCATTGTCATATGATCGGCTTTTGGGCCAAAGGAAAGAGTGAGTGGATCCAAAGGAACAGATTTTAATATTCACACCGACCGGTAAAGACTTTAGAAAGACTTTCAGCGCAGATATCAGCATTGGGATCTCGTTGACCATACTGCCACTGAGATTTGCGACAGAAATGATCTCAGGTCGTGCAGGAGGACATATCACCCTCCATTTTTCCTTAATCCCACACCCAGAAACAAGGCTTCCGATAGCTTTCAAGACCGGCAATTCCTGCACCCAGCTCTCGCCATCGGTAAATTCTACTGACGCTCTCGTGTACCAAGCACTCTTCTCGTCAAACTCTTCATTCCACACGCAGTCAATCTTCCGGATCAAGTCTCAAGTATCATCGCGCTCAAGGTTTGCCTCGCTGAATTGCTCGAGCAGGACTTTTCGATCTAGCAGCGATGTATCGCGTACTCATCTGAGCGCCGGTCGTTGTGATGGGTCGATCGATCTGCTGATCACCGTGTGCGTGAGGAGCCTTGGGCTGCTCGATCACAATCTTGCTCACGGACCCGAGGTCTGCGAATCTTTCGGGGTGCTTTGCCTGCAGCGTAGCAATGCAGTCAACAGGAGCATGTGTCGCGATCATCGAGTTGTATTCCTTGAGTCTGATCCCTTCAATGCCTCTCCAGTCCCGTCCCAAGCAACCAATGAGCTCGTTCTCTTTGTAAGTGGGGTCATACGTCGAGCCTTGACCGAAGGTAGAGAGATAGCCGCCATATGGTCTCTCGAAAACTTGATCGATGCCTGTATAATTTTCTCTGGACATCAAAGCGGCAAAGAGTCCGTTGCGGGCGGCAAAAGCGTGCTGCATGCGCTTTGCCATGCTCTCATATTGTGCAGACATCAAATCGCAGGCCTGGGTGCACGCTGTGCCAACGGAATCCTCTATCTTTCCGGAGGTGAGATCAAGGAGGGTTGAAACCGCGGCTGCTGCGACTGGAGGACCGAAGACGGCGCCCTGGTTCGGATGATTCAGCTATTGGCAGCCGAACTGAAGTCTCCGGAAGGAACACCTACGCTATGCCACCCACGGCTCAGCATATCAGGACCGTGGAGGGCACGGCCGATTCGGGAGCCGAGCTCGAAGCCTACGATCGTGGAGATGAGGAACGTTGCACCATCAATCTTCGATCCCGCATCCGACCCCTGAGCGTACTCCGCTGCAGCGAACAGAGCTGGCAGTATGATTGAGTTGGCATGCCACGGTGCATCAATGTGGACATCATCGAGCTCGAATCTTTGAATAAAAGACCCATTCAAGAGGGCTGCATTGAGCGGACTTGTGCGCTGGCTGTCCTAAGTACAGGGTACAAGCAAACAGGGAACATTCCGAACTCAAGGAAAAGTAAAGCTTGCACGTACCTTGTTCCAGCCAAAGACGGCGCACTTGCCAGTCCCCTCAATGTCCAATACAGCCTGCGTAGCTACTTTTGACCATGGCAGCTTTGCTCCTACGATAGCACAGGCGATGGCATCGAGAACCAGATACTTGACCTTGGTCTGGACGCTTGATGGCATGTCCGCGAGCTGGACTGATTCTATCCGGTTGCAGACCTGTCCGGTAATCTCATCGGGAGCACTGCATGGAGCTCGCGAAGATCGGAATCCGGTGTTGTACAAAGGTGCTGGAGCACTTTTGCCGGTTCTTGAACACTGTGTAGCTCGAGTGAGCGGAAGGATGAAGCGAATAAAACGCCCTCAGGATAGACGGCTCAAGGACGAGAGGGGAAAACATTCGTAGAAATTGTGGCTCGATTGAGAGAATGTACGTTTTACATTCACCCGCTGGTGAATCGCATTGCAGAGCCAGAGCCAGTCTCTTGGCAAATTGGCGAAAGCTTGGCTTGCATTGGGTGGGCAGCAGTGATCGCAGAAGCCCGGAGAAATGGTTTGAAAAGGATACGACTCCTAGAACTCACTCAGGAAGAGAAATCTCCATATGAACACTGGATTATGGATGCATATCTGCAGGGTCTAGTAAAAGCCATCAATGTTCAAGCGTGGCGAAACAAAAGGTGGGCCGAGCCTCGGTGCTCTCGGCGAATTTATGCGAGGGTGTGAAGATGCAATGCATGTGGCTTGCACATCCTTTCTAAATACCTTAAAACGTATGCAGAATGGGTATGTCAAGCTCAAAAACACGGTCCAGGAACTCAACCTCGGACCCATAGTGCGGGAAGGGACGGGACGAGTGCTGTTGATCATTAGGTGTAATTAAACAACAATTCTTTGATGAACATAAGTGTAAAATAAACCAAGACCTTCAAGGTACAGAACTTGAGAATAGTATCAGTTTCTAGAGAGTAGACAGCGGGAAAGAAAGACAAAATACATGTTATTTATTGTCACATATATCAAGTATACCTCGTAACGAAACCCTCGAGTCTGCATGAGTGCACATCTCTTTGAACAGGCTCGTTTGAAAATACCTTTACCAGCTAGACCAAAGTCTCGTTCTCGGCCTCCCCTTTCCCATTCTCATCCAGCACCAGGCTATCCATATCGTGTGCGTAGTTGTACAGCGACCCAGCCTTTTCGCCCACTTCATTAAACATAGCAATAGATTACGTGATGGCACTAGCAGACTGCCACATCGATTTCGTGTGTTTCGAACAAGGCTGTCTGAGTGCGACAGTCAGAGCGCCGTCAAGCCTCTTTTCGATCAAAGAAAGTTTTGCGGTAGGGTGGGCTGATAATCAGATCGGATGCGGAGCCGCTGCTCGAGAGGAAGACGAAAGCATGCTGCAGTTCTTGGCGTCGATTCGAACGAGGAAACCCGACCAAGGGTCTGTTGGCTCGGGATGTGGGTTGTTCCAAAGTCGCGATAGATCGCAGCGGCGGAATGCAGCTCGGGAACATTGCATCAAATGCGCCTTCTATGCAAACAGATGTTGAACTTCAGAATTGCACACCGTTCTTCATCCGTTACGTTCTCCGAGGATGTGAGAGAGCTGGGACACAAAGGTAACGAGAGCTTGGGCAGTCCAGATATTACAAGGCTTCTATTTACCCGTCCAGAATATCTGTATAGACCGTCGGGAACTTTTCTCTTGCTCTGTCTAACATTAGTCTTCCATGCTGGTATGAAAGTCAATATTCACTTGAGCAACGTGTTCTGCACTATCAAGCATACCTGCCCAAAACATATGGAGATGTAGTGGCCTGACCAGCGAGGGAGACTATTTCGTTCGGATATGAGCGTGGTGAGGAGGATAACAAGAGGGTGCCGCAGCTGGTCCGTCAAGCTTGCTGATGGCACGAAATGTTTTTTAGAAGGTTCGATTAAAGCGGCCAATGGCAGGGAGGGCTGTTGTTAATTCCGTTCATGTGATCAGCATCATGACTCCAAGTCTATCAGTCCTTGAAATGCTGAGAGACGCCGGGAAAGACATAGCAGATTCAATATATTCTTCGATATCGAAGTGAAAATTCCCCTCCCCTAGAAGCCATTGCACTGCCGCTGTCAAAGCAAAAAGCTTCCTTTCTCAAACCCTGGCCCCCCTCCCCCTTCATTTCTGCTCATCCTCTGGCCCTAGCGGCTTCTCCCCCTGCTTCTCCACGCTCTCCCTCTTCTTCTCCGCTGGCTCCTCTGGACTCCTCTTCACCGCATCCTCCGTAGGTGTGCCCTCATCTTTGTCGCCCGGAATAGCGCTCCGCTCCGACACAGGTTGTTGCACACTCGCTGTATCTGGGGAATTGGCACCCTCGGTCCCGCGGGTCTTCTTGAGCTGGGCTTGATCGCTGGAACTCGATTGCGGGTTGCCGAGGTCGCCTTCGGCGAAACGGGGGTATGTGGTTGTGAGGCTGCGGCGGACTGTTACGGTTGTTAATCTATGAGTTGGTAAAGGAGAAAGGGGGAAGGGGAGAGGTACAGATGGGTGGGGTGAAGGGATAACGGAGTGGTTGGAGGGACGCCGGGGAGCGTGTGGAGAGACGGAGGATGCGGGATGCCATTGTCACGTATACTTGAAGTTTTTGTACTTTTAATAAGAGAGGCTCGATTTTCTCGAGTGTGAAGTAGATGGCAACAGCATAGCTCCTCCCAGCAGCGCTAATGCGAGCTTGTGACTACGTCATAGAGAGGTCAAAATTTTAGCGGAGGAATTGGATCAATGCAGTTTTAAAAACACCATCTCAAACATTTATACATATTATTTGACTTCAGTTCCCACGCCTGCTTTACGCCAAATGGCATTTGCCCTGTCGTACAAATATGCCTTTGATAATCGATACCATTGCTATCATGCCTTCCTAGACGCTATGCATATGCTGCTTGCCTCCAATGATCCCCCCTTGCCCCTTGTCCCTTGCCCATGCTCCGTCAGAAGCATCCTCAGGCTTTATACAGCGTGTCCAAGAAACCCTCAGCCAGACTGTTGACCACACTCGGGTTCGGGAGACTCCCGGCGACACCGTACAACGCCGCCGCATCGCCTTTCGCTCCGCCCTTTGCTCCCTTGCCTTCCACAATTCTTACCCTCTCCTTTTCCTTCTCCTCTTCTACCACTGCCACGAGGTCTCCAATAAGTTTGTCCACGGCAGCGACAACTGGTAATGTTACAGCAACATGAATGGCTGGTGGCCTTTGTAAGGCATTTAGATGCCATCCTTTACTCGACATAGCATCGGCAAGATCGTACACGTTGAGAGTTCTCGACGTGAAAGCGACAACGCTGACGAGCGGCTTTCCCATGACAGTGAGATCGTCCCGCAGAGAGGGGTGCTCTCGGATGGTTGATTCAATTTTCTTAGCAGCGCCAACTATTTTATGGCAACTATCGATGTAGCCGCTTTCGCCTTGAGACATTAGGCTAGCCCAACAGGTGGCAATGAGAGCACCCGGACGTGAGCCTGCAATGCTCGGTGAGGCGTACACGCCTCCAGACCAGTCGGCGGAGACGAAGTACTGGTACGTGCGGAGCGCCGATGTCCGGTAAAGAAGGACAGAATTTCCTTTGGGCGCAAAGCCGTATTTGTGGGTGTCGCAGGAGATGCTTGTGACGCCTTTCAGGGTGAAGTCAAACGGGACAGTCGGGAAACCCGCGCGTGCGAGAAAAGGGACTAGGAAGGAGCCGAGACAGCAGTCGACATGAAGAGGCAGAGATCCTTTCTTGCGGAGAGCGAGGCGGGATAGAGATGTGATGTCGTCAACGATGCCGTGAGGGAAGTTTGGGGCAGACCCAACGAGAAGTATGGTATTGCTGTTGATTAGACGAGAAACACTGGGTATGTGTACACTGTATGTTGGTGCCGGACAGGCTACCAGGTGAACCTTGATACCGAAGTAAGCGCCAGCTTTGCGAAACGCTGCGTGAGCAGTATCTGGTATTACCCTGTACTAGTCAGCAAAGCCCTTCACAGTCCATAGCTGCACACACATTTCAGGCTCAGTGACGCCACGTTCTGCGCGCGCCTTCTGCCTAGCGCTCAAGCACGCCATTAATATTGACTCCGTGCCACCACTCGTAGTAACTCCAGCTCCTCCAGCTGGTGCATTGAACATGGCAAGGACCATAGCGACAATCTCCGCCTCCATCTTTCGAACTCCTGGAAAGACGTCTGGATGTATCGGATTTGCAACGCTGAACTTTTCAAAGGCCTCTGATTGTAGCTTGATCAATTCGTTCCCGCCATGGTAAACCGCTCCGCTAACAAGGCCATCCTCCCAGCGTGTATGCTCCATACCACCAAGTATTTCCAACTCTGCCCTCACTTGCTGCTCGGTCCATCCTTCCTTCGGTAGCGTGAGGTATCGACTTATGCCAGGCCCTTGAGGGACTAGCTTTCCTTCGAGTTTGGTAATTGCTTCAGTGACTTGCTTTTGTACTTGGCTACGTACGCCAGGACTTTTTAGGAATATGCCGTAAAGCGTCCGTCGTATCGAGATGTACGCCTCCGCCACTGTCCCGAAGAGCCCGCGGCCTTTGAGCTGCAAGACACCTTTTCTTGTCCATCGTAAGAGAAAAGAGAAGAAGATCAGGTTACGGAGACTGTATTCAGTATCAGTACCAGTGTGGTGCACAACGCGTATAGAGAGCTTCTACATCTCAGTGCCTATATTGAGATAATTGCCTCTCGGGGTGTTCTTTGTAGACGGTAGCGACGTCCGAAGACTTACAGGCATACGAGAGCTTCCCATCATTTATAGATGGTAGTCAGTAACCGGCGGGATAATGAAGGTTAGCGACCAAGGAAAATAAAGCACATTGAGATCATCAGACATCAAGAAGTTCTAGGCTTGAGAAGTTTATTGCCGAGGGCCTCGGATTTAACAGGCTTGGCATCATCGGACGGGAGAAAAGTTGAATAACTACTATCGCTGTACATGCTTGCCGTACGCCTTGCTGATTCCCATAGTTCAAGTCATGCCTAAGCAGCATCTTTCCATTGTCCAAAGCGTCCTAAAGTGGAAGAGGCAAGGCGTCATTGCCAGCGACCTGATGGACTTTTTGGGAACATCCGGCTCTTCGCGTCCCATAGCCAACGACAACTCGGCGATCGCGTCCTTTGTAAGACTG